GAACCCACCTCACATACTGCTTTAATGGGTGAACAACACAACCTTGAAACATACTAGAACACTAGTTGCGAAGAGCCGACAATAATTTCTCATACTCCCATTGCATAAAGATAGGTTAAAGAATAGGTTAAAGGAAAACAAACATAAAGAATACTAGTTTTTTGCCCATCCGGTGGGCGGCATGTTTTTTTTTTTTATAGAGGTAGGTTACTATTTTTTTCGTATATATTTATGGAAATTATTTATTATTCGAGCATTGTCTGATAGGAGGACCGGCTAGGAGCCATTATCATGTAAAGCAATAAGAGTCAATACTTCATCATCATTTTGAAGATCATATTCACAATCATATGCTCTTTGACTGTCCAACAATTTTGAACTTCATATGTTGTACATATCTTTTCGTTGAATTTGTCTTGCGTGGATCTATATGTTTGGGCCAAATATTGTGAGCGTCAACATTTTTCAGTCCTGCAACAAAAATTCACGTAGGTGATTAAAATTATCATATATAATGATCGAATCTCAGTCATTTCAACTTATTTCTTCATTTGATGAATGTATAACTCAACAAACTTAGTAGTTGAACATTCTTGTGGTAGTAGACTGCTCAATCAATGCTAAATTCGACCCCCTTATATATAGGTATAATTCATGCACATCAGTCAAATATCTATCCATCTTGCACTCATATATCTAAAGCCAAAAGATACGATTGTTATGCACCATTCTTTTTCCATGATGTACTTAATTTTCTTACATAACATAAATGAAAGGGAGAGACAATTGCATATTAAGAGCATGTTCTTGAGGTGTAGTTTTAATTTTCTTACATAACATAAATGAAAGGGAGAGACAATTGCATATTAAGAGCATGTTCTTGAGGTGTAGTTGTTGTTCTATACTGCCAATCTATATATCTATAATTATGTATTACCCTTAACCTTTAAATAATTATATAAAAATTAGCTTTAGGGACACTTAGCCTCCACTTTACATTATCATACAATTTTAATTCAATAACTAAAGATCCAAAGAAAATAGTAATGGGTTGTAATGTTCCTCCTTATAGTTTAATGTCATCATTATTAGAACTGAATTGAGTTTTAGTTTTCCATTATGCAATTGAGTTCTCTCATAACATTCTAACAAACTACTTATATGAATTAGGTGATGGCTAGCATAAAGTAATTGATGTATTCTTATTGAAAATTGATCAAGATTTGTTATTTAGAATTGATTGGAGATGAGAGGTTGTATAAACCCAATCTATATAGGTATGGTGAAAGAATTAGGAACAAAGGCAGCTTGAATGAAGTCAAAATGCATATTTATGTGGAAAGGTGGTGACTTAGCTTGTTCTAATTATTAACTAACCAACAATCAAGCAAAATCAAAATGAGGAGAATGTTATGATTTTAACGTAATTACGAATGACAGAGGTTTGAGCAGAGCCGACATAGAAAAGTATGCAAAAAAATGAGCTATGGTTGTGGGAGGAAAAAAAGATGGAAAAGCAAAGAGAATTTTGCGAACAATGGTGACTTGAGCAAAGTTGAAATGCGAAAAAGGTAACTGAATCACACTTCTATTTTTTTCTTTTTTGAAAGACAAAAGGTAATTATTATGAAACGTGTTTAGGTGCATAACCCTAAAATTAATCAAAAATACATAACCACTTCAACTTTAGTTTTGACGCAATATATCTTATTCGTTTTAACTCAGATTTCGTATTTATGCATGGAAAGATTAAAAAATACTCTTCAAAATGACATTTACTGTATATGTTCGAAAAAAGAATCTAGGTATATTTTAATAAATTTTTATCATGTAGGAATTATCGTGTATCATGGTGGCACATGACTAAACCATGTAGGTGTATTTTAATAAATACATCATTGTAATAATATATTTAACTTAGAAAGTTGGCATTTTCACTTCATAACAACTAATGTAGTACGCACATGATTATTTTATCTTTTTAATATAAAACTATGTGAGTGTATTAGTAAACATATCTGTAGCAGTACAAACAAAATATTACATTTTTGTTATGATATAATACCAAATAGGGTTGTCATTTGATTTCTCATTTTTTGCATAAAAAATCAAATAAATATACTAAAAAAAACTGCATTTACTGACTACTGTGATATAATTTAGAAAAAAGAACGTATACGAACGTCTCTTATATCATGGTAGTATGAAATTGAAAAAAATATCATTGTGGTGTACACAATTGAAATTTTTTCTAAAAATATATAAATGGATATTCCTTTGTAGATCATAGTTAATTTAATTTTTGTGAAATAGTTATTGAAATTCTGCTTAAACTGAAGAAGATACAATTCAATTAATAAAATTAGGTTCATAAAAATATTTATTTGAATTTCAACCCTGAGATCTTTCTAATCATGAAACTTGGTTATTAAGCTAACATAATTTTTAGCTTATGCATATGTATCTGATCCAAGATTTTCTATCTTCATGCACACATAAAAAAAACTTTGTCCAAAAATAATAAACAAATAGAAGAGATTAGATTTGCATTAGACTCAAAAGTAAAGCAATTGTTTTGATAAGTTTGCAGGGAAGTTTGGGGGGAAATTACTTATGTAAAAAAACAAAATGAGAAGATGGGTTTCATTAGAGAAAAATAATTATACGGTATTTGATAAGTGAAGGATGTCAAATTTATTTTTATACATATATAAATCGGGTTTTCTGTGATTTTCTTTTATCAATTGCACTTTCATTCATATCAAAGTAACTTTGTAAACAAATATTAAAAATTTCAAAATCATTAATAATGTTCTTACATAAATGGAATTATCGTGTATCATGAAGGAACATGATTGAATTATATATATTTTAGTAATTTTATTATGTAAGAATGTGCATACGTGATTTTGATAATGTATTTTAATGTTAGCATTTTCACTTTATGATAGTATCAATGTAGTAAGCTAAAAAAAGTATATAACTATATGACTTTATTATTACACATATTTATAGTATTACAAACAAAATGTTACATTGTTGGTGTGATAGAATACCAAAGATGGCTGCTTTTTAATTCTTATATATTTTAATTTGAATTAACATGATATAAAAATTAAATAAGTGTTCGGATTTGGATAATAATTGATTTACAGCTTTTCATTTTATTTTATCATTTATGATTTTGTGGAAATATTTGCAATTGTTTTTTTATAACTAATATTTGCAATTGTTAATCAAACATGTTATGAGAAAATTTAAACGTAAGTTATTTTTATTTATTAATGAACAAACATTTTTTAGCTTTAATATATGTAAAATTTAGGGTCAATGTTTTTATAATTGAGTCGAAAGTCAACCAGTAAAACAAGAAGATCACAATCAGAAGTTGGATGTTAAACCTGTTCCATGATATGAGTATTTATTTTATTATCGATATAACATCAAATAGAATTTGTCTTATTGATCGAACACTCTAAAACAACCATACATATTGCATTCAATTAATACCATAAAACATAGTTAGGATTCATATCATCAGACAACCAAGTGGTTCTAGTGATGGCAATGGGGCGGGGCGGGGCGGGTACCTCAATTCCCATGCCCCGCCCCACGCTACTATGGGTCGGGGCGGGTAAAACCCGCGCTGGTACGGGGCGAGGCGGTTCGACCCACTCTTACATGTTGTTCAGAAAAAATACAAGTAAATTTTACTTTTTTTAATAAAACGTAGGGGAAAACACTTTAAGAATGAAAAATATTGATGATAGAATGGATAATTGAGCCTAACTAGTTGAAGAAAAGTCAAAATAGGAGAAATATGTATAGATATTGTAAGAGATTGAGATAAAATGAGTCTAAAACGGGGGGCGGGGCAGGGCAGAGCGGGTCGGAAGTAGATACCCATGCCCTGCCCCACGCTACTGCGGGTCGGGTAATACCCGTCCATCGCGGGTCAGATCGGGTAATACCCACGGGGCGGGTTGAAATTGCCATCACTAAGTGGTTCAGCTCAGCTCACTCTCTATGGAAGCCATGTTGGGGTTTCTTCTTATAGCAATGTTTTAAATTTCGGTGGATCTTGGCAGTAATCGATCATTTTATGGTTTCCATGTTTTGGCATCAAATATCGGTTGACAACAAGGTTGGTTGACTGTTCCATTGCCCATGACTATATAATATTATACAACTTGCTATATGCCATATTCCGATATAATATTTTGGACTTTACTATTTTTTCACAAATTTTTTTATCAAAAAAATTATACTTTACCATTATGAAATAGTTGAACATACAACCGTGCTACTAAATACCCTATCACAAATGAGTTCAAGATGACTTTCGATACAGTTTCATAAACCAAAGATTTAGCATATGAAAGCAGTTATTCATGAGCTTTATCTTTTCCTCCTTTGGCTATTTTTATCTCACTCTTAATCATTCTTTGAGGCTCCAAGCCCTAAGGAGTTGATTCTACACCTGTCCGCTTGCAATGGAAGTATTTGCGCTCGATTTGCGGTTACAAATTGAAGTGAACAATTTTAGTAGATAAGGAATGTGATCTTATTTTTATCTATTAGTAAAGAGATGAGATTTCAATTGTCGTTGAATTAATATAACCTACACAGACGGCAACCCGATAATATCAAAGTGAGGATAAATCTGAAACATTCGCGATGTTCCACACTAAATTTGCGCTCCAACAAATTTCCCGATTCTCTCAAACCAAAAAAAAACTAAAATTTGCAATTTTTCCAGTCCAGAGTGGGAGCATTAAGACTGAAACACATGAATTGAGTAATGCAAGTGTATAGACAATTTTGTCCCAACTTGGACCCTCACTTTTGTTAAGATGTGCTTCCTTCTTTAAGATTACTAACAAATCATAGTAGCTTTTTTAATATGTGCAAGTCATTTCTCTATCACTCTCCTTAGATGCCCTCACCTATAAATCCTCCACTACCCATCACTCTTTCTTTTCCAACCCCAAAGATCCAATTTCCCCCCTTCTCCTCTCTCTCTCTCTCTCTCTCTCTCTCTCTCTCTCTCTCAAGTAGCCAACTTGGAAGAGGAAAAAAGGAAGAAGAGGAGGGTGGAGAACGAAAGCAAAAGATCCAAATTAATGGTGGGTTCCCCTTTTCCCACTCTCTCCTTCATCTTTTCCTCTCCCCTTTTGAACTTCTTCCTCCTCCTCACTTTATTTCTTCTTTTTTGATCAACTGGAGTTCACATATAATTCTCGCCTTCACTCTTAAGCTAACACCACCCCTAGCCCCAAGCCGCTTTACCATTACAACAACAAATGGTACCCGTTGAAATCTCCCTTTCTTTCTTTCCTTTCCTTCCTGTTCGCCGCCGCCCTTTTCTTTTTTCCCCAGTCGATGATGGATGATCTCTTCAATTTCTGCCATGTCTCTGTTTTTTCCACCCCTGTCTCTGTTTTTCCCCTGTCTCTGTTTTGCACTGATGTTGATGTGGGTTTGTTGCAGGAGGAAGAATTGGAAGCGGCGGGGAGATGGGAAGGGTATGTGGATTGGAGGAACAGGCCTGCGATTCGAGGCCGCCATGGCGGCATGATGGCTGCTTCCTTTGTTCTCGGTATGTATGTCACTATTGTGGATTGGAGGAACAGGGGAATTTTGGGTTGTGTTTAATTTTGATGACGGTGAATGGAGGATTGCAGTTGTGGAGGTGCTGGAGAACCTGGCGTACCTGGCGAACGCGAGCAACTTGGTGATGTACATGTCAGAGTACATGCACTTTTCGCCCTCCAAATCGGCAAATAATGTCACCAACTTCATGGGCACGTCTTTCCTTTTGGCCCTCCTCGGTGGCTTCCTTTCCGACGCTTTCCTCACCGCCTATCAGATCTACCTCCTAAGTGCCGCCGTTGAATTCCTGGTATGTATGTAAATGTAATGTACCACGCTTCTTAATTACCCTACAATAGCTTAGCTTAGCTGGTTGGCCCTTTGTTAATCACAAATTCTCTCTCTCTCTCTCTCTCTCCTCACCCTTAGTTAATTTATTCACATGCAAGGCTTTGTGAAATCTTACTCCGACATTGAATTGGTAAGATTTTCGATGGTAAAAAATGTTAAAGGATCGTAACCCTTCGTAGTGTGATATGCAGTTAAACGATACGATAGGATGATACGTCGTATAATGGGTACATAGGGGGTGGCAAATGTGCCACGACGGGCTGCAACATAAGTTATGATTCATCATTTAATTTCCACATAAATAAGAACAAATTGAATTCTCTGTTCTGTGAATGGGGAATTGATCATGAAATGAACATAGGTGGTGGTGGGGGTATGAATTTGTACTCTAAATTTTGTATGGCTGCCCATAATTAACGGCTCGGCTGGATCCGTTAACTTTGGACTTGTTCGTAAAAAACCGTCTAGAGGCCTGGAGCAATGAGGAAAAAATTGAGGGGTTATTATCCGATAATCATCATCCTCCGATTGAGTTGCGTGTTGTTCAGAGAAAGTAATTAATAATAATAATAAACCTGACCGACAGAAAAGAAGGGAAGGGAAGGGAAGGGTCAAGGGAGGCTACTGCTATTTGCCAATCGAATCGGCGCACGTTGCATTGCACGAGTTTCAAGGCAGGCAACGGCAGAGGCAGTCCCATGATTGGTTAGGCATAGAATCCACAGTTTTGGTTTTTGGGGTTTTCCGTTTGTCAGTCTTTTGCAGTTTTGACCATGAACCTTCTTCTTCCTTCTTAATAATATTCAAAAAAAAAAAAAAAAAAAATCTTCCTTCTTAATCGACTATTTATATGATCAATCATTAAATTTATGTGACAATGTTGTTTAATATGATGATCATCACACACACATATATATATATATATTTAAAAAAGAACCATTATCATAATGTTTACGCAGAAGGAACAGCATGCCAAATTGCCAATATATAATTAGTGGTATAGGATGGGTTTGGATGTGAAAATTGATTTTTTTATCACTAGAATATTAGTTAATAATAAGACATATTTTATGACTTATCTAGTATGTATGCACTGTGAATGAAAGCAGATATCTTCTAATACGTGTCCAATAACATACGTAGCTTTCCAACAGAGAGTCAACCACATTTTGATGAAGGAGTCAACCACTTCAATTAATCAACTTTCAATATTTGGGATATACTTATGAATTTTTATTAACGTTAGTTTAGTTCTGAGTAATAATTTGCTTTTTCTTAGTACAAAATATAAGTTCGTTCATTTTGTTACGCAATAAACCTTGATTTTTATTCCGTACTTGAATCACAAGTGAACAATATGAATTAAGCGTTTGGTTATTCTCTCTACATCTTATTTCACTGGATAAGGTTAGGGAAAAACATAAATTTTGTGCCAATGAATTAGGATCTCAAAGGTCAATTTTCATAAATATCCATTTATATGTGCATACTCTGAACTTGGTCATCTTATCTATGACAAGACGAAAATAGAACACAACAATGAAAAAGAACACATCCCCAATATATATATTCTTGTAATTTTCAGCATTAAATTTTGTCTCTTACTTGACACATGAAGGGAACATATATAGCTTAACTAGTGTCACAACAACTTATGACCTTAATTTCACAAAATCCCCATTACTATATGTTGATAAGGATGGAGTTCCAATTTATAAGGCTGCATATATTCCTTTCTGACATAAAATTGCAAAAGATATTCCCATAAATAAAAAAAGAACTTACAAAACTAATTGTGTGGATGTAGTGTCCCATTCCCTAGTTGGTGATCGTTTTCACACTTTGTCCTCATTCTATCACTTTCTTGGAATGAAATCACATATGGCATATATATGCATATAGAGAGAAAAAAACGGTGGCGATTCTCTACCAATTATAAGTCTATATATCCGCTAGCCCATGTATTTGTCTTATATACATATGTGTATGTATGAAAAACATTGAATGCAACATCTATGGCTACATTTGTTATAAAAAAAATCTATATAGTTATCGGTGGCTCATATTATAATATTCAAAAAGAAAACTTTAAAATTTTGTGTTATTCGTAAAATAACATGACGAACTTGCCTCTAAACGTGATATGATATGCGGGTTTCTGATGATTAGGTTATGTGATTTGATGCTGAATCATCTATCATACGGTTCTCAAAAGTAACGATTTGTTGACTTATATGATAAGACAAATGATTCTATACACAAATTTCAAAATACAATGATAACGGTCATTTGTATAAATAAAAACTTTCGCTTTTGAAAATTTTTGCCATCTCTTAGATTGACGAAACGAATGGTCAGTTCATTTATATGTATATGTGACATGCATGTATGATCTAGTTTGATGGTCTCTTTTCTCTCGACTTTCCTCCGTTTCGAGTATATTAAGAAAGTCTACACTATCATTCAATCGTGACAGTCTGCCTTTCGCTCATAACATTTCTTCCCCTCCCTCTTGTTTTTTTTTTTTAGGGTTTGGTGATCCTTACAATCCAAGCTAGGTCACCATCACTACAACCACCAACATGCACCCCAGGAAGCAACTCGTGCGAGACGGTCCACGGAGGGCAAGCTGCCATGCTCTTCATCGGCCTCTACTTAGTCGCCCTCGGAGTCGGCGGGATCAAAGGCTCGCTCCCTCCACACGGCGCCGAGCAGTTCGACGACAACACGCCTAAGGGAAGGAAGCAGAGATCCACCTTCTTCAACTACTTCGTCTTCTGCCTCTCCACCGGCGCCCTAATCGCCGTCACGTTCGTGGTCTGGGTCGAAGACAACAAAGGTTGGGAATGGGGGTTTGGCATCTCCACCATTGCCATCTTCCTCTCCATCCCAATCTTCCTTTCTGGCTCCTTTACCTACAGAAACAAAATCCCCTCCGGCTCCCCTCTCACCACCATTTCCAAAGTAAGCACACGTACCCCCCACTTCTATCATACAACAAATATATATATTGGGGTATATCGTACACCAGCAATCTCCACTATCCACGTACCTCATTTATACTGGCCTACGTCACGTGGATGGTGGAAATTATCTGGTGTAGTACGACATATATCAGGTTTTGCCTAGTGTATGATAGAACCATCCGCACATATATATATGTTGTATCTGAAACTTCTCTCGACGATTCTAGCTGTTGGGACGAACAAGTTCTTCGTTGCGACGAAGGCTTGGAACTCGTCGCTAGAGAGAAGGCAATAATTCTAGAAAAATTGTAGGTTGATCTTGGTATTTTAATTATGTATCAAACTTTTATAGTTTGATAAGATATCTCGATCTAACCCTTTTGCAGACCTTACTCTTAAAGTTGCTAACTTGTCTAATCTCTTGTTACAGGTTTTGATTGCAGCATCAATCAACCGATGTGTGAACAAAACTCCAAGCAATGCCATAGTAAACTTGGCTGCAAGCCCATGCAACCCTCCACCACCTCCACCACCACAACAACAACAACAAGCATTATCAACAACAACAAAGGAATCAACAACAACTGAAAATGGAGCTAGCCATCCCAATCCCAATCCCAATCCCAATCCAAACCCTAATCCGGAAACCCTAACAAAGAGCCTCAGCTGCCTGAACACCGCCGTGATGAGCAAGCCTTTCCAATGCACGATCCAACAAGTGGAAGACGTGAAGGTGGTGATCAAAGTCCTCCCCATCTTCGCCTGCACCATCATGCTCAACTGCTGCCTCGCCCAGCTCTCCACCTTCTCCGTCCAGCAAGCCGCCACCATGACCACCAAGCTCGGCTCCTTAAAAGTCCCGCCGGCTTCCTTACCAATCTTCCCCGTCGTCTTCATCATGATCCTCGCCCCGATCTACGACCACTTCATCATCCCCTTCGCCAGGCGACTCACCAAGTCCGAGACGGGCATCACCCACCTCCAGCGAATCGGGGTCGGGCTGTTCCTCTCCATCGTCGCCATGGCCACCGCCGCACTCGTGGAGATCAAGAGGAAGAGAGTCGTCGCCGCCGTCGCCGCCACCATCGACGACAAAGAGCCGCTGCCGATCACTTTCTTCTGGATAGCGTTTCAGTACTTGTTCTTGGGTTCGGCGGATCTCTTCACGCTGGCGGGGCTGTTGGAGTTCTTCTTCTCCGAGGCGCCCGCGAGCATGAGGTCGCTGGCCACGTCGCTGTCGTGGGCTTCTCTGGCGATGGGGTACTACCTGAGCTCGGTGATCGTGTCGGTGGTGAACGACGTGACTAGGTTGTCGGATCACAAGCCGTGGCTGTCGGGAGGGAACATCGACCACTATCGCTTGGAGAGATTCTACTGGCTTATGTGCGTGCTGAGTGTCTTGAACTTCTTGCACTACCTACTCTGGGCTTGTCGCTACAAGTACAGATCAGTATCGTTGTTGTTGTCGTCGTCGTCGCCGTCAACATAACTGCAGCTTCTAGTGGGTGATGGAGGAACAGTGTGGTTGAGGTTAAGAGAAGAAAGGGTTTTTGGGCGAGAAAGCCTTTTTTGGCTTATGATAATATTGTACATACGTTAAGAGCCATAGGGAGGAGGAGAAGAAAAGGAAAGAAATTTACGTGGTGCTGGCTGATTATGGGAAGTTAACCTGGTGCCAGCTGGCAATGGATAGGGGGGTTTTTTTTTTTGGGTGGTATTTGGGCCTTAATTTGGTAGTGAATAGTGATAGTTCTTCTTTGGCTTCAAAAATGTAAAACCCCAATGTTTTTTGTCTTCCTGGAAAACTTTGGTTTGTTTTTCATCACTGTGTTCGGAGTAGTTAGCTAGCTTTGCCACGTACCAAAGTTTTTTACAGGCATAATTGCAAGTTTGGTCACTCGAATTGCTATAAAATTTCACGTTTGCCACTCAAATTAATTTATTCCATTTATAGTCACTCGAATTAGTTGAATAGTTCAAGTTCGGTCACTCTCCATTAACCTCCGTTAACTTTGACTGACGTGGCGGTCAACTCTGACAGTTGACCGTTAAATGTGTGACGTGGCAAATAAAAAATAATTAAACAATAAAAATTAAATTTTTAGAAATTACACATCATTATCACAAAAGAATATAATTATAAAAAATTATATTCCCCCGGCGGTGGTGGCTTCTGAAGAGTGAAGATTCCCCCTGCGGCGAAATCGTTGGCTGCTTCAATCCCTTCCTCCCGTGGCCCCACAATTACAGCAAACTGCCGTTGCTCCCCGCATCCCTCGCCGACTCCTCGCCCAGGGGTATCAGAGCCGGCTTCTCCGCGCCGCCGACGAGCGATCCGGCCGCCGTCGAGTGGACCATCCTCGTCGCCGGTGCCGGCGGCGGGGCTACTTTTAATACTTACCGGGAGTCGGGCTTGGGAGGGCCAGCCTTGCTTGGGAGTCGGGTTTCAGGGGAGCGAATTCTTTTGCCTGTTCGAGAGGGGTGATGTTGTGATCTTCGGAATCGACGGCGGAGCAGGCACCAGAACGTTGTTAGCTGATGCTCGCCCTCTTCCTCCACTAATTTCTAATCTAACAGTTGTTGAGAGGGATGGAGGAGAACGCGTGTTGATGAGTTGGGAGGAGAGAGGCTATGTTGAAGCAGGGGATTTCCGGCTTGCAGAGGCAGAGGACTCGGCAGAGGCGGAGGCAGGGAAAACAGGGTCCGCCTCAAATTTCTTTTTTTCATTTTTTATAATTATAATTTTTTTGTGATAATGATGTGTAATTTCTACAAATTTAATTTTTATTTTTTAATTATTTTTTATTTGCCACGTCACACATTTAACGGTCAACTGTCAGAGTTGACCGCCACGTCAGTCAAAGTTAACGGAGGTTAACGGAGAGTGACCGAACTTGAACTGTTCAACTAATTCGAGTGACTATAAATGGAATAAATTAATTTGAGTGGCAAACGTGAAATTTTATAGCAATTCGAGTGACCAAACTTGCAATTAAGCCGTTTTTTACAGGATCGAATAAACAAATGAAGTGGGAAAGTAGCTCAGATGGTAGAGGGCTTGCTTTGCATGTTGAGATAACAATATCATGCATTTTGAATTAGATTGTCTTTTTCATCTACTAATTTCAAGTGCTCAATCCCTCTCAAAATTTAGAACATCTGGCCAAATTTACAGAATTGAAAAGAATAATTTTCACCTAATAACCTTGAGCCAAACAACACATTTCTTGAGTACTGCAACCCAATCATCCGAGCACGACTATTCTCTGGTTCATTGAAAAAAAACATACACTGGAGTTTTTCATGTAAAGAAGAGACGACAACAAAACAAACCCAAGATCTTCTCCTAAGTCCTAGCAATGTCGTAGCCTAACACTCATCAGATCGAATATGGGTTGGGATGCCATTTAGAAATATCGAGTAGGTAACTTTTGCTACCAATTTTTATAGTGTGTAACTGTTGAAATATCTCGATTTACAACTAGGACTACAAATATAATATAATTTTGTTTATTAAATTGGGGATGTAGCTCAGATGGTAGAGCGCTTGCTTAGCATGCGAGAGGTATGGGGATCGATACCCCATATCTCCAAATAACCTAATTTTGAGTTTTTTAATCTATCAGCTGCAAACACTAAAAGTTTCTTTATTTTGACAACATGTGCAAAGCCCACTGATCCCATCACGACCATACTTGGGTTCACCGCAACGAATGTGTACTCAGCGAATGCAACTTTAGCACTATTAACTTTGCTCTTCAGTGCTCACAATTGCCTAGTCTTGCACCGAGCATAACGAAGGCAAACCCATTTTTCACCGAAAGGACTTGAAATGTCTTGTTCAAAGCGTCGAGTACAGATATAGGCTTAACTTTTAAGGATACAAAAATGTTCTGCTATATCAAGAGGATGCTCTATTTCACACTGTCTCTGCTGGTGTATGGAATCAATGAATGCTATAGGACATTGATGAACTCCTCACTGCCACCTTGATTGATCCAACGACGCTCAGCTGCCTCATCTCAGGGCTCAATCCATGTCGGTCCACGCTGCCTTCTTCAATCTGGACACCCACAAAGTATGCTATCTGAACGAACAACCATAGGGATGAAGATTAAGAAGCAGGACCGACTAAGTCGTGCAAATCCGAAACACAAAAGTGGCCCTAACAAGAGGCCACAACACGGCCAATCAGTTTTAAGTGATTAATGGATGTCAAGAAAACAAATGATTTACTACTTCAACCTCAACTGGCATTTATCTGTTTCATTCTATACATTTGCAAGTCCTCTCTTTTCAGTTTTTCCATCACTCAAGATCAGTTTATATAAAATATAGAAATAGCAAGCCAGCCTGGGTTTAATGTAATATCACAACTGCAGAACACAGAAAGTTGAAGGGGGTGGAGAAGTGCAGTTTCAAAGTACCTTGCCAGTAGCATTACGAACTGGTGAAATGTGAAGAAGATTCCAAAACGAGCTCTTATCCTTCCTATTATCAGAGAAGAAATATAGCTAATCATGGTGAGAGGGACAGAGAACATGATATCGCTTGTTAAGCTATCAACTCGAGAATAGTTGAGCATCAACCTGTAATGTAAAATACGTACTGAGCAAGCTTGTTGAGCTTGAATACTTTGCTTTATCTGAAACAACAGTAAATTTTCAGTCAACTAGAGGCTCCATTACAAGTATAGGAAAATAACAAAGGAAGCCTATACCCAATAAAATAAGAGAACCGACACCGAGACACCTGATGTAGAGCTGAGGGATCTGTATCAACACCAGTTAAGAACCTACAGTTTTGCCCTAAAACTTCATTCCGAGCATACCCTACAAAACCGAGAAAATGGATAAAAAGACCCGAAAGAGAACAGCAGCCTGCACTTTACAGCAAGTAAAGCCATGTGAAACCTAAAGCACCTGTCATTCTTAAGAAGGCATCACTAGCATAAACAATAGGGATATCCGGTAAGTGTGGATCCACCCTGAAAGCAAAGACATCCAAAAAGATATTAACTCTTGAAGACAGTACTGTCTCAGAGAGCTAGAGCACTCGGAAATTGCATGATAAGCAAAAAAATATAAACAAACTCACAATACAAAGCTTTGTTTGATTCTACCAAGTGAGATATGTAAAGATGAACTGACGAGGCTGGGGCCAAATCTCTTTTCACAGACCAATCTTCCTGTCGATTCGCTATAGTGGGTTAGCACAGACAACACGTTGCTAATAGCAGTTGCAGCTAATTGCTTCTCTGTGTCACTGGCCTCGCATTTTTCTTCAATCTCTAGTGCTGTAATTAGAAAGAAATTACACATCGTGAAACAAATGTCTTTAACGGAAACAGAACAAAAATGTGATCAACTGGAAGAGGCACAAAAAAAGAATGGAGAGCTCAAGGAAATCTTCCAGACAAGCTCTGCTGGTAACGGCCATTCGCAGCAGTAAAAGCTAAGACTAAGGAACATACAGGTAAAAAGGACTAACGCAAATTGTAGAAATGAAATTAGCTGAAACCCATCCAGTGGCTTGCAATCTTTTGGAAACACGTAATTATCAACATGTTGCCAAACTGAGCCTTCCATAGCTTGCACTAATAAGAAATTACCAAAAGAAGTATTCAACTCTCCCGTAAGACAATGCACAGAACTCAAGCATCGGTCTCCTTTGGTACTCTCCAACCAGAAACTATGAAGAAAACTAATACCAGGAAGTTGAAGACGGTGAGAAAAAGTTGCAATTTTGATAGACCAACCTCTACAATCGGAATCCGCCGCCGAAACTCCAGCCAATTCCACCGAAGAACTGGAGCAGACTTCCCTTCTGCAGGAATTAGACAAAATCTCGCCGCACAAACCCTCCCCATTTCTCCTCCTCTGCCTCCGGCGCAGGATGGGAACTTGAACGGCGACGAAATGAATCACCCGGCCCTCATCCTTACCAAAGACCGGCGCCATCCGAAACAACATCCAGAACGGCGTCCCATCTTTCCGATAATTCAACAAACTGATCTCCACCCCGCGCTCCTCCCGAATCGCCTCTCGAATCTCCATGACCGATCTTCTGCAAGTGTTGGGACCTTGGAACATCCTGCCGTTCCTCCCAACCACTTGGTCGCGCGAGTATCCGGACATCTTGAGGAAGCCCCGGCTGGCGAACACGATTGGGTGGCCCGAAATGCAAGGATCGGTGATAGTGAAGTTGTCAGGCAATTCGTCGAGCGCCTCGCGTGCCCAGTTGGAGTACCTGCTATTGAAAGACTGCTCGATCAGACCCAGTTGCGGTGGTTCCATCAAGAGCTCCCGAGTTCGAAGTCCTCCTCGCAATCCTGCCTTCGTCGGCGATTAGCGCCAATCCCATGTGGCAGGTTGATTTCGCTGGTGCGTAAACAGCTCAAAGCTGGAGTTTTTTCACAAGATAATCTCCAACCACTACTACCAGCCAAGAACACGAACAGACCCACAGATTATTTCAACTCAATTCTATTCAGTTAGGGAAGGAAGAGCCCATAGATTTTACGGAAAGGGAAGAAGAGCAAGAGCAGTGATTGTATAATTTTGGGTGGCTGGTTGCTTTTGATGGTCAGTTGATTGAATTGGAGGAAACGGTGGGAAAATATCTGGATGCGGTGTGTGTTAGGAAGTGGGAGGAAGAGTTTGAATGAACGAAGTTGAAGTGGAGATGCACATCAACACTCTGCAAAATTTGACATGTGATACTAAACAAGAGGCTGCGAGCGAGCTAGGCAAATAGAACACTTGTGTTTGCAAAGTACAAGTATTTTTTTTTTTTACAAAAGATAATTATATATTGATTCACAAAAGGTAGCATTACATCCTGAAACAAAGTCAGGTCTGAAAATTAAAAAAGCGACACGTAGACGGGTACAAAGCAAGGGTCTTTCTAGCCACAACATGGGCTACCCTATTGTTCCTCCGACCTACAAAGCGCAAACTAAACCCAGGATTAAGCACCATACATTCCCGAATTTCTTCCAAAGCCAACCCAATCCTACTATCCCCAGTGTCCGCTTGGTTGATCTTGTCAATAATGACCTTGGCATCTCCTTTAAACCTCATATCTTGGAAACCATTGGCTACACACCACAAGACTGCTTCACGGAGAACGAGCGCTTCCACAACCAACGGATCATCAATGGATCCAAACTGAATGCCCTGAGCTCGAAGAACCTCCCTATGAGAATCAAGAAGCACCATACCGCCAGCCGAGTGAGACCCAGCCTTCGTAGCCCCATCCCACATATACACCATCATGGAGCCACTGTCCAGATCCGGAGGATGGAGAATGGGGCGAAGACCCGACTCAACCCTGTCTACTGGCACCCGTTCTCATTCCTCACATTGTTGATGAAATTGGCGCATCAAGGCAGGGAATCCAAACTGGTTGCCTTCAAAGACAACCCAGTTACGCGATTTCCAAATTCGCCAAAGCACTGCCACCACAGCCATGATCATCGGAGGGTGACGGAGTAAGGCAAACAGCCGTTTGAGAAACAAGGGAAAAGTATGTCGAGGCAAGCCTTGCCCAATATGTTCTAACCCTGATAAATCCCATAAAGCCCTGGCCACTGGACAATCCAGGAAGAGATGTTCCATAGTCTCCGACGCTTCCCAACAAACTGGACAGCGCGGAAGGACAGGAACACTTTTCTCAATGAGGCCCTCAGTGGTAGGTAAGATGCGATGAAAAATCTGCCAAACAAACACCTTCAACTTAGGGGGAATGTTCGCCTCCCACAGCCAAACCCAGCTGGTCTTATCCATCCAACTAGCCGTTGCTCTCCAACATCCCTTCCTTTTGTCCAGATCCACCGCAAGGTGATAAGCTGATTTAACAGAAAATCCCCCATCCGACGTGCAATGCCATATAAGCTTGTCTTCCATGTTCCGGCGCGGCAGAGGGATAGAACGAATCAAGCGACATGTTGGCGGATCAAACCATTGCCTCAATTTGGTCTCACACCACCCCCCTCCAACCGGATCTAAGACCTCTGCCACTACCGGTTCACCACCTTCAGGGAGCACTTGAGGGTTATGGACAGGCTTAGCAGGATGCATCTGAGGAATCCAGTTTGAGGATAGCAAAAGTGCTGACTCTCCATTGCCAATTTGCCAACGAAGACCTTGCTCAAGCAACTGCCTCCCACAAAGAACACTCTGCCATCCCCAGGAAGGACGCGAGCGCTCTTGGGCTTGGAGAAACGTCCCCCTAGTTTGGGGTTGTTTGGAATTTTAGATAGGAATTCTAATTGATCAATTTGATTCTCAATTGTTTTGTTTTGAGATAATTTGGTCAAATCGATTCATTTGGTAGTATAAAATTTAGAATTTAGACGAATTGATTATTTTCGGGTAATTTCATATCGACTCATTTTGAGAAAATTACAATTGTTAAGGGTAGGAGTACACAATTCGAATTGACTGGGTCCACCTTCTTTACATATACAAGCCAACTTGCAATCAAGTAACCAATTATGCAGCATACAACATGTGGTGTGGAAAGCTTTATCTTCAAACATCCTAGAGTTTCGCTCCTTCCACAAACTCCAACATAATGCGTGCAATAATACCTTGGTGCACCACTGAGCAAGGTCTACTGGTTCTTGTTTCAATCATCACTTGATTGTTGCTATAATATCCCCCTAAAGCTATTATTAATCTTCGCAAATCTACAAATTATATTATATACATCTTTATAAATCAACAAGTGAGAGAGATATGATCAGGATCGTCCTCACTACTCATACACATAACACATCTACTTGGAATCTGTCACCCACTCTCTTAAGCGAATCATGTGTGAGAATTTTCCTCTGAAACACCACCTAGAAAAAGACATATCTTGAATGAGATTGTCCATTGGTACAACAAGCTATGGGCTCTGATGGAAGTCTTCTCCTCTTGGATGTCTTTCCAGCAAGAGTTCCTTGTACAAGAACTTCACTATGAAACCTATGATATATGAAGGCTGCCAAGCTAATCTCCTTAGCCCTGAAAAAAAATAAAAGAAGATGAATTGCACTATAAAGCAAATTAAACAAACTCACTCTCTCTCTCAGCTACCCCCCCCCTCCAAAGACGTCATTAGAGGAATTTTCCAGAATACTCTCTTATTGGTGATTCAGTAGTTCTTCGATACTCGGTTTTTAGAAAAATAGCATAAGCTACCACCTTCTAAAAAGGCTTTACAAGTGTTAAATTGTTGATCCACCTATCACACCAAATGGAATATCACGGCCCACTCACTTCTATATGAGCAAAATTCTAGACGATATGCTTTAATTTTGCAATAAAGGGCTACAACCTGCAACACCCTAGAATTTGCCAGCCATCCAATCCGAGCTTGTGCTTACAGGTTTGATTTCTAAAAGCTCTCGCCACCAGGACTCACATTTCAAATAATGTACTCTCATTTCCCTTAGCTCTTTAGGGTCTTGGCTTGAATCCATTGACATCAGGTGCAGTTTTCGTTGTTCAGAGTGCCCGACCAGATAAAATTGCATTGAACCCTTTCTTTACTTGAAATTATAGCTTGGAAGCTTGGAAAAAGAGAGCCAAGGTAAAGAGATTGTGTTGCTAAACACACATTACTCAAAATGATCCTTCCTCCAAGAGACATCAATCTTGCTTTCCATTTTTTTATGAAGCTTGTTGATGGTTGCATTCCCAATTGTGGCTGATGAGGTAGGAGCACACAACGGTAGACCAAGATAGATTGTCGACAAAAATTCTTATCCATACCCTTACTAGTCAGGCTATATGTACACATATAACTTCACTGACTCGATACACCTTACTTTTATTCATATTGATCTTTAGACCGGTTATTCGATGGAAGCTAACAAGAGCAGACCATGGTTACCGATATAAATATTTTTATGTTCCGAATTACAAACAAATTAGTGTACAATTTTGATGAAGGCACATATTAGTGACGTGTCAGCAATTTATTACTTTAATTACGTCATAATTATTATTGTAATTTGAGGATACTCATTGAGATTTTAGGGGATTTGGGATTATTGAGAATATTTAAGGAGATTTGGGGTTACTGTGGTAGTTGTTAGTAGAAGGAGACTATAAGTCTACTTAGTATTGTCATTGAGAATTATTAAAGGAAATAAACAAACTTTAATCGCTCTCCAATCTCTCTCTCTAGTCCTCCCTTGACCGATCGACCACTTCTTTCCCCTCTCCCCTCTCACGACCAAACTTCCCAATTCCCTCCTGCTTCCTTCCCAAATCACCAACCCATCCAATTTCACCCATCACACACGTCTACCATCATCCAAACCCTACCCACTTTCTATTCCCTTATTCAACAGAACCAACCCTTGATCCAGGCACTCATCAGTTGGTATCAGAGTCTGGCTAGGGTGATGGTTTATGACTGTAGAAACCAAAAAAATGAGCAAGACAAAAGGATCGCAAACGACGTCAGATCAATCAACCGTGCAAGATGAGCTCGATGTTTAGGTGGTGTACGCAAAAATCGGGAAATTGGATGAAGGACAGGAAGGTCTAATGGCTAAACTGGACATGCTATTGGACCAAGGCCAAAAGGCGGCGGCCACCGCAAAGCAAGGGCAGGCAAACTTGAGGCGCCAGACCACGATCATGGAGAACGATTTTGCTTCCTTGATCCAGGCCATCGCGTCCCTCCACGAGGGTGGTGGCATAGTGGCAGTGACAGTCTTGGGCAAAGGGGCAGCGGTGGCGATCGGCGGGGGCAGGCCAGCGATCAACGTCGGGCATCCCCAACCTAGAACGATGGGAGCACTGCGCGACGGGATCGCGACAAGGAGGTGATCGGCGGGGACGAAGGCAGCGGAGCAAATAGGATGGCGGGGGAGCCGCCAGCCGTGGGTGGCTCAGCCGTGTCTCGCTCAGCCGTGCGAGACACGGCTGTGGAGGACCGTCGGGGGCCAAGCAAAGTAGGATCAGAACGGCGATGTGGAATCACAAACACCAGGTTTGGTTCAAACCCTTGTTTGACCCAACTGGGATCAACTGAGATGAACCGACTTGGTTCGGGCAGGAGCGCGCTGCAGGCAACCGCTCAAACACTCAAATGTGCTTTAACATACTAGTAGGAAACCAGGGATTCCTGAAGCGTGGAGGGAGCCAGAGCGCAGGAGATCGACTTCGAACACAGGAAGAAGGCGGGTACGATGACAAGATGGGAGACTGGGAGATGGTCGAACACGATCACCCAAACTGGAACAGAGACGACGACCAATCGGGACGCTTGGGAGGCACTGGAGGATGGAACGACAGATATGGAGATGGAGGAAGCTGGTTGAGGCCGCAAGCCCCGTTTATTGAGTTTGCTAAGTTTTCAGGTACCGAGGATGCGGCGCTGTGGGTGGCTCGAGCAGAGCAAGTGTTTCGTCATCAGGAAATTTCAGAGGAACGGGAAGCCTATCTCGCGTCGTTCTACCTGGAGGAGGGAGCGCATCAATGATGGGAGTGGCTGGGGCATACCTACGCCAAGAGAGAGGAACTGGTCACGTGGGAAAGGTTCAAGGAAGAATTCGCGGATCGATTCAGTGGGACGAGCGAGTATGCTTTTGAGCAGTTGGTCAAACTAAAACAGACCAGCACTGTAAGTGAATTCTAGTTTGAATTTGAATGCTTGAGAAATTTATGTTATGGAATTCTGGAGGAGACCTTGGTTTGTTTGTGTTTAGCTGGGTTAAAACCAGAAATTATAGCTGTTGTCAAAGTGTTTGAACCTAATTCTGTGTCGGTTACATTTCATGTGGCAAAGAGAAAGGAAGAGGTGTTGATAGGATGGAAAGGTGTCCTGGGGAGGCTGCTGAGACCCATCGGGACGGTCATGGTCGTGCAGGGTGGAGCCGGGGTAGGGGTCGGAGCCGGTGGGGATGGAAATGGAGGCGGGCCGTCGGCACCGGTGGGAGGTGGAGTTGTGGCGGTTAGGGGAGGACCATGTCTGCCGCCTGGCGGGTTCGTGCATCTTACTTCGGCTGAAATGGAGCGCAAGAGGAGGTTGACCTTTTTTTGCTTTAGCTCGATGGAATAAACGAAAATCCGCTCCAGTCTTTTCTTTTTTGTCGTGTCTTATGCTGCCGCGATGGGCTTTCTCCGGGCTTTGACGTGAACCGAGGGGGGGTCCTCCCCCAATAATGCATTTTTGCATGGTGAGACTCTAATGAAGAAATTTACAGAAAGATTCCGGAGGAATTTGGCAAGGAAGGTTATAACAGAGTGTGCAGATTTAAAAAGTAACTATATGGCTTAAAGCAAGCCTCTCGAAATTGGTACCAGAAGTTCGGCACTGAAAGGCATTGGCTTTGTCCAATCGAGGGCAGACCACTCGATGATGATTTTCAATCATGATTCAATGTTCATCCTTGCTCTTATCTATGTGGACGACGTGATTCTTGCTGGGACTCACATCGATAAGATCAACGAAATAAAGCGGTACCTGGACTTAAATATTGCTCATGAGTGATGGGCCTCTAGAGCTTGAAGCTTATTGTGATTGGGGAAGATGTCCCATAAATAGGCCTTCCTCGGGTATATAGTGAAGCTTGGAGGCTCGCCCATTTCTTTTCCCACGAAGAAAGAGAGTGTGGTGTCTTTCTCTTCTTTCTTTTTGAGTTTAGTGACAGTTCATCAAAAGAATTTTCCAAGATTGCGTCATCGAGCACGCGACGCGCATAGTCTTAAGTTCAAGAGCGGGCTGTCTCCTCTTCTACTACTTCCTTGCCTAAGTAGTTCATGAATCCTTCGTTCATTGCTGAACTCACTTGTTAGTTGCGAAGAGTGCTACACCATCGGACATCGCTGCGCCAATGCCAACCTCATGCTATTGGTGGGAACGTTTGAAGATGAAGTAGAAGAAGTGGCGGCGGAGGCAAGCAAGGCTGGCACGGATCGTCAATCTTGAGGGCAAGGTTGTTCCGAAGCGGCCGGGATTTATGTAGGCATGGATTAGTGGCGTGTCAGCAGTTTGTTATTTGAGGATATTCATTGAGATTTTAGGGGATTTGGGATTATTGAGAATATTTGGGGAAATTTGGGGTTATTGTGGTAGTTGTTAGTAGAAGGAGACTATAAGTCTACGTAGTATTGTCATTGAGAATTATTAAAGGGAATAAACAAACTTTAATTAGTCTCCAATCTCTCTCTAGTCCTCCCTTGGCCGATCGGCCACTTCTTTCCCCTCTCACGACCAAACTTCCCAATTCCCTCCTGCTTCCTTCCCAAATCACCAATTCATCCAATTTCACCCATCACACACGTCCACCATCATCCAAACTCCACCCACTTTCCATTCCATTATTCAACTGAACCAACCCTTGATCCAGGCACTCATCAAATTTCGATTCCGAGGCGACACCCCTATATCTTATCGATCATTATCCACAGTGGCGGATACATGCATGGTTAGGGGTGTCCCGGGATACCCCTAAAATTTGGAAACACGATTATTCAACCTACGATAGTAATTTGCATATGAGAAAAAAAGCTGTTTAAGTGGTAGTGGGACACCTTTAAAATTTGGGAAAATGATTATCCAATCTCCCGTAGTAGTTTGCGTATTGGTATAAATAATATTTAAGTAGTAGTTTATGTTTAAATTTGGGACACTGCCACTATTAGTTAATATATTTTCAATTACGCTACAACTCATTTGTTATTGTGTTTTAGATCCAAATATAATAGTAAAATGTTATTCTTATCTCAAATTATTTTCAAAATCTAACGATTAAACTCAATTACGGGATATCCTTGTCTAGTAAGATATGTCGAGAGATATTTGTTGAGCAGTATAAACACCGAATGCATTTTATCATTTGATGAAACATGTCTGATCTTTTAATGAAATTTTTATTAGTTAGATATTTTCATATTTAATAATTATTTAATTCTAATATTTAATTTAATTTTTTATAGAGGACACCCCTATGTAGAATTCCTGGATCCGCCACGGCCTATCCAACTAACCTTTAGCTGTATTATTTCGCCTGTATAATGTATATCCATTTGCCTCGTCATCCTTGTGCTGGAAACTCGTGGATAATTAGCCAGGGCACCCTACTTTTCAAAAACAAAATTAGCCACTCTATCTCTCGTGGGCAGGACTACAGGCCGGATGTCCTGATGCTGGACGGGCTCCATGGCCAATCAAATTTGGTCATTGAGCCCATTAAAAGCCCGCTATTCTCCGCCGGGAACCGGGACCTTTTCTTTTCTTCCTTATGTCAGAAGCCCGAATCCACCTTCCTGAACCGTTTGCACGTATCAATGTCGTATCGCCTCGCTCCAGGAAAGTAGATCCATCTCTGTCTCTCTACCTCCGTCGTTCCTCAGGCGAGCTCCGTCTTTGATCTCCGATCAGGTGATCTATCTTCAGTCTCTGTCTGTCTCTCTCATTCTAAATCGTGTTCGAGTTCTAAGCTTCCCCATCCATACTTTGCGTAGTCAATTTTGATCCTTCCAATTCCAGCTCCTCCCATTTCCACTGAATTTCACTGTCTGCCTGAATGGCTTCACACTTCGAGATTTGATCTCTTTTCGTTTTGAATCCAATCCGTATTCCGAAACTGTTGTGCCGCGCTATGGTTTGGTTGGAGTTCAGAAGGAGTTTGGAGTCTAGGTTCCTACTCAATTTGTCGAACTAGAGTGGTTTTCCATGGTGATCCAAAGAGGAGTTGAAGTAGTTTTTGTAGTTGGATTGCCCTGCTAGTGCATCCAGCGTGTTGCTTGCCAAAGATTTCAGTGCGGCATTTGTGACATTTCGATTTTGGCTTTTGCAGGAATCTGTCTGCCTGGGGGGGGAAAGAAATGAATTTTCTGTTACGGTCTTCTAGTCACCATGTGGCACCTGAAAAGGTTTCTGCTCACGAGCCTGCAGTGGACGCACAGTATATGGCGAGACCTACCAAGACTCTGGAGGGTCTTGTTACTGAAGATCCGTTCCCCGAGTCTCCAGTGGCTAGAAATCGACAAGGAGGGCCTGATGAAGTTGGAGATGAGAATGGCAGTGACGTGGGTTCAGCGTCAAAGAAAAGCTCTTGTGTCGTTGAGGGGCATTCGGATGTATCCGAAGAAGAAGGATGGATCACTATTCCACACAGTACTGATCCATCCACTGACTTCTGCAGTTTGCTAGTCCTATTGATGTTCCAGTTACTGATGTCTGAATTGCTGAGTCTGTACAATGCGTAAATTAGAAAGAGCATTATGTTTTATTTTCAGTCTGTAATGATTTTCATCTTTTTGCAGAGGAACTTCCAGATGAGTGGAATTCTTCACCCAATATACAGTCACTGCGCTCCTTGGATCGATCATTTGTCTTTCCTGGTACCCCACATATTCTTTGCCTCCGCCGAATGACGTAATTATAGATAGCTTGATATTTATAAACTGTGGAAATTGGTCTACTTATATTTGGCAAGGTACGTGACCATTTTTATTTCAGGTGAACAAGTTCATATACTGGCATGTTTGTCAGCATCTGATCAAGATACAGAAACCATCACTCCATTCAAAGTCGCTGCTGTTATGTGTAAAAATGGCATAGGACAAAGCCCTGAGAGACAGAATGGAAACGTGAATGACAGAAGTCATGCGGAAGGAGAAACAAGTGCCGGTGAGCAAGTTACAGGCCAGGAAGGCGATGACTCGTCACTACAGAAAAGTGATCCAAAAGTCGATGTGTCTGCTAGTGAATCCATTCTCAGAATGGAGGATCACAAAAGACAAACTGAAACATTGTTGCAAAGATTCAAGAACTCCCATTTTTTTGTTAGGATTGCGGAGTCAGATGAGCCACTTTGGTCCAAGAAAGCTGGACAAAACCGTGATTTAGCTGACATTGATGGTCAGAGCTCCATTGGAAATGGAACTGGAAAGGCCAAAACTCATCTCAATGCTCTCATTGACAAAGGAAATTTTGATGCCAATGTTGCGGGTGGAGCTGCCAGAAACAGTGTTAACTGTTGGTCTCTTTCAAATGGAGATATAGTGGTATGTGTCTGAAATCCTTCTGGTTCAAGTTTATTTTGATATCTCTAAAAAGTGCTCCAAGTTTAATCTTTGTGTTTCTTACTCTTACACCTACATTTTAAAAGTTTTGATTTTTGTCTTTGACAGTCAGACTTAACTATCTTTGTGGGATATGTTATATGTCTTGTATTGGTCGTAGCTCAGTTCCCCATATGATTAAAATTCTCGAAAGTTGAAATCATGTGCTCTATTGACCAATCCAGTAAAGATCTCCCTCCCGTATGCTCAATGAGCTGTGAACATTATATTCTCGAGATCACTGTAATTTCCCCCCCTTGGCGCTTATTGCTTTATAGGCCATGGAGGTAATAGTTCATCTAAATTGCAACAGAATTGGCCTAAATTTTGGTAGCGCAAGCATTGTAATCTCTAAGTCTCTAACAGTGGGTTCAGGGTTCATTTCGCATGCAGCATTGTTTACTGATTCTTGCCCCAACAGTTTATTAGATGCCCATGCTTGTCTGTGGTCATGTGTTAAAATTTCCCATGTTAACTACCGATTCTCATTCCACGTATTTGTTTGGAAGGATACAGGTACTTCTACAAGTTAATGTTGGTACTCATATTCTGAGAGACCCGGTTATTGAGATTCTTCAGTTTGAGAAATACCAGATGAGAAATCTGTGTCCAGAGAAGCCTGACGCACAGAATTTCCCTAATGCTGATCCATATGGACAACTTTTAACGTGGTTGCTTCCTTTGGACAATACTCTTCCTCCTCCTCCTCGTAACTTATCCCCACCCCAAAGAGCTCCTATTCCAGTTCTTGCTCCCACATCTCAGAAGCCAGTGTCTTCTGGATCACAGCTCTTCTCTCATTTCAGAAGTTACTCTATGTCATCACTGCCCCAGAATAGTATTCCACCTCCTCAACCAGTTAAAGCCCAAAGTTCTAAACCAAACTTTGACATTGATGAGTGGGGAGAGTACTCATCTCAGAAGTTGAGACAAAATCGTCAAAAGGATGGCGATGGACTTCTCTCTTTCAGGGGCGTGTCATTAGAGCGAGAAAGATTTTCAGTACGGTGTGGTCTGGAAGGCATGTACATTCCAGGAAAAAGATGGAGGAGAAAACTTGAAATCATTCAACCTGTAGAGATCCATTCCTTCGCTGCAGACTGTAATACAGATGACTTGCTTTGTGTTCAGATAAAGGTGTGAATCTGGGAAGAATAAACTCTTGCTGTGAATATATTTGCTTAGTCTTCTAATGCTTCTGCATTCGTTTTCTTCCTCAATGTATCATGCTTCTGCAATTTCCTGTAAGGAACTTTCATTTTGCCAATGCCTTGTTAATTTATCAAGTTCTTCTGCAGAACATTTCTCCAGCACACTTGCCGGATATAGTGGTGTATATAGATGCTATAACGATGGTTTTCAACGAGGCTTCCAAGGATGGCATGCCTTTGTCGTTGCCGATAGCATGCATTGAAGCTGGAGATGATCACTGTTTACCAAATCTTGCCCTCAGGTGGTTGTCCACTCTAGGTATCTTTGTTTTCTCCCAATTGGTGCTTGCTAGACAGTCTTTGAAGCCTCACCAGTCTGGTTTCTCTTCAGTTGGAGAACGTTACTTTCAATCTTTTAATGAATTTGATTACTTTCTGGGGTCTACTGGAGAGAGAGAGGGACTTCTGTTTTGTTACTGGTGGAAAGCATGGGACTAAGTTTGAGAACTAGCTACTGAAAATTAACGAACCAGCTCCTTTCAAGTCTCACCATCTTTATTATGTTTTCTCTTTTGTTGGAGAATGTTACTTTCAGTCCTTAATGAACTTGAACATTTGATATACTTTCTGGGGTCTAGTTTGAGATAGAGGGACTTCAGTTTATTTTTGGTGTAAAGGACGGGACTAAGTTAGAAAACTGGCTTGTGCAAATGAATTAACCAGTTCCTTATTGAATTGTTGAGTTCAATTGAAGTCCACCATGATGATGCGACCAATTATTGGGGACTTTACTAGTACATTTGAGTTGATTAACTACCAGTTTAAATTTCGTACTTATAAGGGAATTGTGAGAGGTATAAAACGTTTCTTTTTTCATGTGATCTCTGTTTGTGTAAGCTGAAGTAGTTCCCCAACTTTAAGTTTGTATGGTGCATTGCTTGTATTCCTTTCTATTTATCTTCATGTTCCAGGATAACATGCAATCTGCCTTGCCCATTATCTACAAGCAGACTTTGATATACTTCTATAACAAAGCTTTTTAGCAAAGTGGAGTTCTGTGCAATTTTGTCTTTGCACAAGTACATGTGTATCCTAAATTATTTATAGAGATCTATGACGCTGCAACTCCAATTTAAAAACCCCGAGTTCTGAGTTAATGTTTGATTTACAAGTCTTTCCCGTGTCATTGTCAATCCTGGCAGGAGAGGTGAAGAGCATGCTTTCATCCTCAAACCAGCATCATCAATGTGGAAAACCCCCAAGGGTCTGGGTGAAAAAACTTCATTTTCAGCAAATACACGCCCTTCTCATACTTCTACTGAACGGAGAAGTAGTTATTCAGACTCTGACATATATGCTATTATGGTATCTTGTCGCTGCAACTATACTGGTATGCAAATTGCTCTTTGTTCAGTTTCTAAGCTAATCTGTTATTTTACATATACAACATTAATTTGTTCATAAGTACTGCTGTCTTCTTCTTTGAATAAAAAATGTAGAGTCAAGACTGTTTTTCAAGCAGCCAACTAATTGGCGGCCACGTATCTCTAGGGATCTTTTGATCTCTGTTGCACCTGAACTGTCACACCGGTCTTCTACCAATGACAGAGTTTCCCATCTTCCGGTTCAGGTATTTCCTTCTCTCCGTCTTTATTATTCAGTGTTTCCTTGAGCTATAAATGCCTCTGTTTCTCTTCGTGGTATGAATTCCTGTTCCCTCGTCCAAAAATCTTTCAGGTCCTAACCCTCAGAGCCTCCAATTTGACAGCAGAAGATCTAACTCTAACAGTTCTTGCTCCAGCCTCGTTCACTGCTCCTCCTTCAGTTGGGTCGTTGAATTTACCATCAACTCCCATGGGTGCAGCAGTTGGTTCTATGAGAAAACATGGTAATAAGGTTGGGAGCAAAACGCACAGCAGGGTGGCTTCTGCACCTCCTGCGCTAGAGCAGCTGAATGAGGGAGTAGAGCTATCTGGTTCCCAGTCTTCGGCCATACCTGATGTCATTTCAAGTACTGGTTTCGGTTGCACTCATCTCTGGCTGCAGAGTAGAGTTCCATTAGGGTAACAAAAATCAGTCTTCTTTCACATTATTTTTTCATTTCTAAGATTCTGACAAGAGTCAAACTTATCTTAATCTCGTCTGTAATCAGCTGCGTCCCTGCAAATTCAACAGCCACAATCAAGCTTGAGCTACTTCCCCTGACCGATGGTATAATCACACTCGATACCTTACAAATAGATGTCAAGGAAAAAGGTAATGAGATTCTAGCATCTGCATCTTTGTTCTTGATATTCACCAAAAAGGTGTCATTGCAATGCTTTCATTTCTCTTTTGTTCCCTCAGCCTGATAAAATCTGCCTGTGCAATTTCTAGATTGTTTGCATCAATGAGTTAAAAATCTCCTTGCCCCATTTCCTTAGGTCCTACCTGATATTTCTGGCACAGGGTATTATCTTTCTGTTGGTATGGTTTCTTCGTGGGTCTTCTATCGCTACTACCCTTGTCAACTTGAACCAAGCAAACAGCGCTGCTTACTGTGTTTTTTTGTCATAATATGTTCTTTCCTGACCAACTAGGTTGATTTCATGAGTGCATCGAGCCCCGATGGGAAATTTTTAATGGATGTTAGTTGAGGAGTTTAATGTTTCCTTTATGAGGAACTTCTCAGTCTCTGAGGTTCTTCCTACGTGCAACTTCTCCTCCAACTTGGAGCTGAATGGCTGAACTTCTGTTGATTAACGCGTTCCTTCCAACTTCGCTTCTTTGAAACAGGTCTAACATACATTCCTGAGTACTCCCTCAAGATCAATGCTACGTCCAGTATTTCTACTGGCATTGTTTAGGCATTTTGGTTCAGTGTGTAATATATGCTTGTCCCAAACTTGATCCTTCCCTTTCGAAGGAACATGGACCGTTGCTTGGGCTTTCCGTAGAGCGACACAAAGCAAGGGACAGAGGGAGGGAGGGATAGTGAGAGAGAGAGATGGCAACAACTTCAGATTTCTTCATCCATCTCCACTGCACAGGAAGATCTATGTTATTTTGGTTGGTTGGTTGTGTATCATAAATCAGGCGTTTCCAGGAAGAGATTTTCTTTCTCGTATACGACGTTACAGGGGAAGTAAAAGAAAAAAAAAAAAAAAAACAGCGGCGAAGTTCATACTGTAGATGATTCAATTGTGTGATTGTACTAATTGGCTAATTGGATACCCCCTTCTGAAATGAGTAGCGCAGAGCATCCTACCAAGTTTTGCTCAAAAAAGAACTACGAGACTAATGAATTTTGATAGCGATTTCAGTGTCTACTGTATGTCTGTTTCCTATTTTGTTTTCTCGTTTTCGGGTATATGCATTTCGATTTCTGTCCTCTGGTCAATTAATAACATGGCATCGGCGATTACAAGCTGGTTCTTACAGTAAAAAGAATCCAGAACATCGTTGCAATATGATGGTTTTTGGTGCTACTTATATGGACAACAGTCATGTTCCTCTCTCACATCACAGGACAGGGTGAATCCAGATGTATACGGAGAGATTAAGGTCCTTTTCCTTTAGGGATGTGTATATTTGCCAGGCTGCGATGAGACTCTATCTAAGCTCATAGCTAGTGGCAATTAGGATCCAAATTCATGAATTCAATTCAATCCATCCACCAAATTATCCACCTAATCCAATCCATTTAAATCTGATCCATTTGATCCAAATCCAATTGGATTGGTGGATAAGTGGATCAATCCATGAATCCAAATGGAAAATTACGATTTGATACCTATATTTATTATATTTTACATTTTGGTACCTAAAATTTATATTTTTATATGAAAATATCATTGGAAAATTACAATTTGGTACCTAATTTTTTTTATTATGACATTTTAGTACATAAACATTTCAAAATTTACATTTTGGTCCAAGCTTTGGATGTCATTTGGATTCATGGATCAATCCACCAATCCATTTGATCCAATCCATGAATCCACCAACCCATTAGATCCAATCCATTTGATCAATGGATCCACCAATCTAATCCACCAACCCATGAATCCAATCCATTTGCCACCTCTACATAACACAAGCTAAGGCAAGAACTAACTCTGACAATTCCGATGGCTTTGAAAACCTGACGCAAATCCAGTGTTAATCACTTAAGTTTCGGGCCGCTAACAAATCGGGCACTTACCTCTAAACCTGGGTGGCTTCATCGTCTACCGGGGGATATTCGCATTGTTATTAATTCGGTTCTTCGTGATCGAACCAAATATATTGAGGTTTAAGTTCATATATTCCTATGATGACACGATTCGCCTCTTTTACATTGCACTAAAAGATCAAATTGCATAATGTTTCCACCCAACCCGTTATTACTAGGGATGTCAATTTTGACCTGACCCGTTTTACCCAACCTGTTTGGCCTGTTTTGGGGCGGGTCTCCCTCGACCTGACCTGCCCTGGCCCACCCCATTCTCGACCGTTTTTGCCTAAATTACATGTAATTTTATTACAATTACTTATAATTTTACTTTTATTACTGCATATTTATGCTACAATAGAGTATTAAACATGTGAGAACTTCAATTTTTAAATAATTTAACTACCTTTATCATATTTTACTGGGGGGTTTAATGAAAAAATTGAATATTTACTCATGGTTTTCTTCTAAACTAAATACTCATTGCGTTGACCTGCCCCGACCCGCAACCTGTGATGAATTACCCGACTTGTTACGGGGCGGGTATACGTATCGAGATACCCGCCCTGACCAGCCCATTGCCATTCCTAGTTATTACGGCTGATCATATCTTTCTTGATGGAAAGTTGATGATGTGCCACTCTCTTTGGGGAGGTTGTTGAGTTATAACATTATAGTTTATGTTTATGTGTAGTGTGTATTTATATTGTGGCATATGACCCCATGCATTTATGAGTTTCACTTAGGGGTGGGCATCCGGTTCGGTAAATCCGAACCGAACCAGACCGAACCGAAGTAAAACCGAATCGAAACCGAATTGTTACTTTTTGGTTTGGAAATCGGAAGCAAAATAGCCACATTTCGGAACCCAGGGTCCTCTCGACCGAACCCGAATTCCGAACATCGAACCGAAAAACCGAATTAATACACCCAGCCCACATATTCCCCTCATACCTCACCCCAACTATCATTGGGCCTCGGCCATATCTCTCACCAAACTCTTCAGCCCAAATCTCTCACCCAACTAACCCTAATAGACTAAAAAAGAGAGGCAGTGGAGAATCGCTCTCCCATCTCAGCCCTCTAGCACGCTGCCGATCCCGTGGCCGCTCCCACTTCGCGCCGCCGCTCCCGATCTCGCCACTCCAGATCCCGCCGACGCCGCTCCTTCGCGTCGCCGCCCACCATCCTCTTCTCCAACACCACCAAACGCTCCTCCCCTCCGTCCACCACCCTCCTCCTCGTCACCATCCCCTTTCTTCCTTTCTTCACTTCGAGACCAGAGACAGAGAGATCTCCACCTCTTCAATCGTGCCGCCGAACACTACATGCAGACGATGCTACCTGATTCTTTGTCGCCGCTGCCGCTGTCGCCGTGTTTGTTCAATCGCTCAGAATCTTCATCAACATCACGACATCAATCGTTGTTGCTTTTGTCGCCGCCTTGTTCTCTCGATCGGTCGTCATTGTTGTTGAATTAGGAGATGGAGGAGAGAGAGAGAGAGAGAGAGAGAGAGAGAGAGAGAGAGAGAGAGAGAGAGAGAGAGAGAGAGAGGAGAGGAGGGGAAGGGAATGATAAATCTGGGCGGAGACTTTGTGGGGGTGATAAGATGTGAGAGGAGGGGAAGGATTTGCGATTGCTGGGGCGGAGATTTTTTAGGGGATATGGTGGGTTGGTTTCATAGTTTCGGTTTTGCCATTAAACCGGACCGAACCGACTTATATTTCGGTTCGATTTCGGTTTGCCTTTCACCTGGGATCGGAACATCGGTAATCATCTGTTCGGTTCGGTTCAAACCGAACCGACCGAATGCCCACCCGTAATTTCACTCGTCTTAGATTATGGAGCTAATATGAGTAAAATCCACAAAAAATTTGATAGAGATGGATCGCTTACGATTTTAGGCTTTTATGCTCTACACCCATACACATCCCACAAAGAGGATTTATTCGCATATAAAAATATAAGGTCCATACTTGAATCTCTAAATGTTAGAAATAATTATTCCAAAAATAAAGAGTTGAATGTAAGTGAGTAGCAACTCAAACCAAACACTAATTTCTTTCCCTCTATTCACCCTTCACTCTTTAACTTCTTTTCCCTTGTTCAAAAGATTATATTAGTTATTCATTGCTTAGTATATGTGTCGGCGTCGGAGAGGAATGATTTAGATAGTATTGTACTTTTTAAGGATTAAGAGATGTTTTAGGATTTGTTGCTTTAAACTCGTATTAAGAATGGTTGTAGCTTTGTTGATTTCAGACTTATTATGTTGATTTAGTGTTATAACTAGAAGTCTAATTCTAGGTATAGTAATATTGGATATACGGGAGAAGTATTGGATATCCAAAAGCCGATATGAGGTATGTGTATTTGCAAATGGAAATGAGGATGAGATAGGGATACCTGCCTCCATTGACATATTTAGTAGAGTGTGTCTATGATTCTGTCTCCACCTCACCTGGGGTTGCTAGGAGAGCATCGAGTTGTACATATATATACGTAAAAGAACATTGATGGAAGCTAAGTTGAATAGAGAGTTGCTAGTTTTGTCCGTGTAATAGTCTTGTTCACACGGAATATACGTAAAGAACATTGATGGAAGATAAGTTGAATAGAGAGTTGCTAGTTTTGTCCGTATAATAGTCTTGTTCACACGGAATATGAAAATCTCATTAAGCATGTTCCGTTTCATTCCCATTCGAATTTAGATTATTGCCACATTTTGATTATCATGGTACTAGAGCTTTCTGCTATGGAATCTGAACATATAGCTACATGTCTCAAATGCAAGAACTTTGCATTATGAGATTTTCAATCTCGAGTATTTTTTGAAGGCCAAGATCTCTTTCGTTGGCTTGATGGATAATCAAAGAAGCCTATTGATGACACCGTATTTACACATGTTTTCCCGACATTTCTCGACCGTTTGGCTTAGCTTTTGATTGTTTTTTGACCCGTTTTACGCTAGGTAGTGCTTGTTGATGATGCAAGCAAATAAAACTAAACCCACTATACTACGCATTAGTTTGTGGTTACACTTGACCACTTTCTAGTGTGACGGTATTGGCGAGTCACCTATGATATAGAATGAAGGAGATTGTTGGAATAGAATGACTTGACTTGTATTATGAGTTTTGGTACATATTTATACAAGAAAAAAAAATGGAGAACATGTAAAAGAATTCAATAGAATGAGAGGAAATAAAGGGAGGTGGATGTACAGATTGCTATTGTTGTGAAAGTAAAGGCAGAGTTGAGTAACTCCTTATAACCCGTTTGGAATCAATAGCCCGTTTCCCAGACAGTAAGAACTCCAAACTCCCAAGTGTCGTGCGCCTCTAGTGCTACAATTTCTCGATGCCCGGCAGCTCGCCATTGTTCGTACTTGGGGCTTGAGCATAAGTTCGGGGCTCGAACAATTGATCCATGAGAACAAGAAAGGAAGTATGGCGGTTAGAAAAGCGATGATACTGAACATAGTTAGAAACTGGAAAACGAACATTATGGGAAGTGGTATTGGGAAGAAAACGAACATTGTTACGTTGCGGCAAGCAGCTGTGTTTTCTCGTGCTCTAGTGTGGGAAGTGGGTCTAGAGTGTCAACAACAGTATCACCCTGTGCGGAGGAAGGATCGATATCGGGAGAGGTAAGAGGTGAGGTATCCACTGAATCATATATCCGATACCTCTTATGGGTTCCGAGATATCCAATGAAACTGCCGCTCTCTCCCTGTCGAAGAACTTGTCAAGACCGTGGCGAGTGTCTTTGGCATAGGCAAGACACCCGAAACTGCAAAGATGGGAGTGAGTAGGCACACGTCCCAACAAAACCTCGAAAGGTGTCTTCTCGAGAGCACAATCGTGGTAAACGATTGGTCAAATACGTAGCGGTGAGAACACACTCCCCTCAAGAAGTGAATTAGGAGCCCTGCGCGAAACATAAGAGCATGAGCCATCTCTAACAAATGGCGGTGCTTCTGTTCAACTATGTTGTTTTGCTGGGGCATGCCTATGCATGAGGTTTGAAGGACCATATCGTGTTCCTGATAATATGCTCGAAACAAGGTGGTTTGGAATTCAAGGTTGTTATCCTCATCAATACGATGAACCTCCTTTTCAAATTGTGTGCGAGTCAACTGATAGTGCATATTGAGATAACATTCGACGTCAGACTCAAACCTCATCAAGTAAACCCATGTAGAACGATTGTAATTATCTATAATAGTAAACAAAAGGGTTAATTGCATGGTTGGTCACTGAGATTACACAAAACGTTCAAGTTTGGTCACTCAAAATATTTAAATCCATTGGTGGTACTTCAGTTTACTGAAACGGTTCACGTTTGGTCACTCTCCATCCAACTCCGTTAACTTTTGCTGATGTTGCAGTCAACTCTCAAAGTTGACCGTTAACCTAGTGACGTGGCTACTAAAAAATCATTAAAAATAAAAAAATTAACCTTAAAATTTTCCACCTCATTATTATATTTTTCGTCCTCGTCCAACAGTTAGAACGCATCGATCGCCTCCTCTTTAAACGACGACACCCAGAAAACGCACGGGACTAATCGGCACCGCCGGCGGCGATAGGGCCATGAATGTCGACCTCGCTACCTTCACCCTCCGCTGCCGAATCTTCGCCGCAGCCTCGGATGCCGAGATTGTGTCGCGGTACCTGTACGTGAAATCGTAGCACCACTTGGAGTACTTCTCCATATCCCTCTTCGCCGATTCTAGATCTAGGGTATTCAATCTCAATTGAGTCTTCAATTTCCCCAATTTCTCGTCCTTCTCGTTCAATTGCTTCTTGTAATCGACGATCGCCTTGCTCTTCTCGCCGCTGCGATGGGGGAACCCGTGGCGGGTGTCCCACAGATTGTCGACTGTGGACGGCGGAGGAGGGTTAACGGCGCCGTATGGAGACCAGTTGAAGGTGTCGTTTAATCTCAAGAACTGTACCCCAAACGCCGGATCGACGAACTCGCCGTCGCCGGCGGAGACGTCTATGAAGCAATTGCCAAGTGGGTTGACGTAGAAATGGGACTGCGAAAGGTCCTCTGCCAGATTGCTCAGGTCCCGCCGCGTGATCTCCTCTTCGAACAACTTCAGGGCGTCGTATTGATTCTCCTGCTGGTAGTGACTAGTGGCTGCGACGGTCGCGATCAGCGGCGGATCCAGGATATAGAAGTGCACTAGGCCGGATTCGAACATAAAATTAGATACCGTAAACAAAAAAAAGTTATAGTTTGCATTACAATGTCAATTGTACACGACGGTCTTTTAATTTAGCAAATTCGTCAATAATTGAGTCTTCATCCATACCAATAACATACTCTCTCTCAAAGAAAATAGTCAAGCAATCGGCAAGAAATTCATCGCCCATCTTGTTGCGCAAATCAGTCTTCACATGTTTCATTGCTGAAAAGGATCTCTCTGTAGTAGCCGTTGAAACAGGCAATGTCAACACTAGACGAATCAACCGACAAATCAATCTATACCGTGCTTCCATCCCTGTTTCCACCAGCTTCTCTAGTAATTTTGCAAGGGAACAAACATCATATTCCTGACTATGAACCACATGATCGGCATAATATCCTAGCTCATTCTTCAAACAATTCATCTCATTGCCTTCAAAGTCTCGAGGATAAAACTCTTCAGCAAGTCTGTAAATATTTTCTTCATCAAAAGACCGGAAAGAACTTTTAGGGTCTAGTGCACCACTCAACTGCAGCAATCTGACTGATGACTCATTGAATCTTGAATTCAATGTTCCCAACTGAAAATCTATGCATTGATTAAAGTATTCAAAAAGGTAGCGGTGCTCAAGAGTTGTTTGCTTCTCACCACGTCCAAGTGTAGCATTCATATTAGGTACCTTTATGGCATGTTTTGAGCAAAAAGATTTTACCTCTTGGAGTAGCTTGTCTCATCCTTCATCCCGTAGCTTTTGAAGTTTAACTTTTGCCATGGAAACAAATCCAACTGCAGCTACAATGTCAACAGATTCTTGTTGAAATGCTTGACAAAGAAAATCCGTGATATCCATAATCCCTTTCATGAAGTGAAGATTGAACACAAACTCAAAAGTATTGATATTTTTTGAAGCACCTCTGGCTTGAGCTCGTTGTTCTCCTTCTTTAGAACGGCAAAGATCCTCTAGCACTACACATGTTGCATTGAACATGTTCATAATGCTCAATATGGAATGATAATGAGATCCCCAACGAGTTGGCCCCGAACGCTTTAAGGATGTCATTTGATTAGCTCATTGTCCAGATTGAATTTCTCCAACATCCAACATACCATCAAGATCTTTTTTGTGAATTGCTTGCAACTCCCTGATCCGTTTAGGAGAAGCCTTCACAACGTTTATGATACAATCCAATATGGAAAAGAAATCCCATATAGGATCACATACCTTTGCAGAAGTAACCAATGCCAACTGTAATCTGTGAGCAAAACAGTGGACAAAATAGGCATATGGGCAATCTCTAAGAAATAATGCCTTGACTCCATTAAACTGTCCTGGCATATTACTAGCACCATCATATCCTCGACCTCTCAATTTTTCAATTTGAAGGTCATACTGAGAGAGAACGTCACAAATAGCTTGTTTTAGTGTTTCTGCAGAAGTGTCAGCTACACTCTTGAGAGCGAAAAAGCGTTCAGTTACTATACCAGAAGAACTGACATACCTCAAAATAATAGACATCTGTTCCCTTCCTGCTTCATCAACTGCTTCATCAACAAGAATAGAGAAACAAGAATCTCCAATCTCCTCGCGTATCTTACAACGCACTCTATTTGCTATGATTCCCAATATCTCCTTCTGAATGCTTGGTGAAGTGTATTTCGCATTTCCTGGTGCGTTACGAAGAACTACACAATTGATTTGATCATTCAACTTCGCTGCAAAACCAATCCAAGCTAGAACTTTCCCCGGATTCAAAGAATCATCAGATTCATCATGCCCACTAAAAGAACTTCCTTGTAAAGCCAACTGTTTGACAACCATAATTGTTGTTTTCAACCGCAATCGATGCTTAAGAACTTCTTCTCCACCAATTCTGTGCATCACTTTATCAATATGACCGGAGGGTTTCATCAAGGCATCAGCCGCTGTAACACATTTATTATGGCTTGAACAAGCTGATGAACCAACATGAACAAGGAACACACATTTCTTACCATTAACCCTCTTTCAATTATCAAATCCATCTTTGACTAGTGCAGAAGTTTGATTCCCATTCATCTTGTCTCTAAACAAAAAACATGGAAAACAATATGCTTTATGTGTTGTAGGAGAATACTCCAACCAATCAAATTGTGAATACCATGCTTCTTGAAAGTGACGAATTTTATCTGGATATTCTCGCGGCTTATAGTATGCGAGTTTAGGTTGATAAGCCTTGTGTATTAGGTATTTTCTCCTAACCTCATCTCTCAACTCAAGAGCCCAATCACATATTTGTTTCCTCTTTCCTGGATCTCTTTCAATTTCAACTCCACTATCAGATGATGGAAGTAGATTACCGGATACAGGAGAAGTAGATGATTCATTCTGAACTGGAGAGGAAGATGGTTGACCTTCATTAGGAGGGACTTCTTCGGTCTGACACGTTTCAGATTCCTTACGTTGATAGTAAGAAAACAATGTTGTTTTCGCCTTTTTATTTGGTGGTTGAGAAGATGTCATGATGAAATATACTGAAATCTGCATAATCAATTAAACATATACATACCGCAGTCAAACACTAGATTCTAAGTAAATAAGATTAAGTAAACTAAAGCAGTAAAATCAATTGGCAAATTGCAATTACCTGTTGCTGACTTGCTGTTGTCCTTGTTGTGGGCCAAGATCAGGTGACTAAGGGGGTCCCCTTAGTCACATGGCTAAGTGAATCTCAGCCACCCAACCTCATTAAAATCCAAGGGCTCCTATTAGTTCAATTTAATGAAGGGTAATGTAGTAATTCATGTTTATTTTTAACTTTTAATTATAAAATAAAAAAAAATTTGCTTCGTCCCGTCCGTTTGCGTCGCCTCCCCGCGCCGCCTCCGATGAATTTCCGCCTCCGGTGAATTTCCGGAGAAAGAATGGGCTCCATTATCCCATTCCCCCTGATTCCCCCTGGCGCCATTATTCCAAGTTCCCCTGGCGCCATTATTCCACACACAGAGAGAGAGGATTTTCACCCTGTGGGTTTCCGGCAGCCCATGACCACCATTTTCCAATTGAATTGCCCAGAGAGAGAGGGGGGGGAGAGAGATTCCACCCATTTTCCTTTTCCCCATTTTCCAATTGTGTTGCAGAGAGAGAGAGAGGGAGAGAGAGAGAGAGAGAGAAATTTTCTGGCCGGGAAATTTTTTCCGGCGAACATCGTCGCCGGAGAAGAATTTCCCGGCGACCGTGCTAATTTTGTGATGTTTGTTGACATATTTTGTAATGTTTGTATGCTTTGTTATTTTGTAATGTTTGTCGTTTTTTTTTTGTAATGTTTGTAAACTTTGTTATTTTTGTGCACCATGTTTGTAAACTTTGTCATTTTTGTGCACCATGTTCGTAATGTTTTTTATGTCTAAAAAACACCCGGGTTGACTTTGGGAAGGAGCCCCTCTATATAGGGACGGAGCCTCCAATGTCAACCCGGGTGTTTTTTCCCGTTCGTATGGATTGTCGGTCTAGTTTGTCATTTTTGTCCACCATGTTCGTACTGTTTGTATGTCTAAAAAACACCCGGGTTGACTTTGGGAAGGAGCCCCTCTTATAGGGATGGAGCCTCAAAAGTCAACCCGGTTGTTTTTTCTTTTTGTATGGTTTGTATTGTTTGTCGGTCTAGTTTGTATTGTTTGTACAGTTCATACGTTTGTAATGTTTGTAAATCTGTTTGTATGTTTTGTCGCTCTAGTTTGTACTGTTCGTATGTTTGTATGGTTTGTACTGATTGTAAATCCGGTTTGTATACTTCGTAATTTCCATAATACCCAAACTACCCCTGTCATTAATTAAATAGCCCTTCCCACTTTTTAACCATTGGATTGAAGTGTCCAGATCTAAGGGCTGGGAGGGACTTAGTCAAGTGACTAAGCACCCCCCCTTAGTCACTGGATCCGCTCTCCCTTGTTGTCTAATCAGTAATCACTACTGTGAAGGGATCAAGCCATCAAGGGAATTGTCATCTAATCACTACTGTCACTGTGAAGGGATCAAGAGAACTTGATTAATGATTATAGCCGCTGCGCGGCTGCGGTCTGCAGAGAAAGAAGGAAGAACGAAGGCCAGCTGGCCAGGGGAGGGGTCGAGGGGATCTCCGTCTGTTCGGCGCGGTGGGGAGCGCCAGCGCCAGCGAGCAGCTGCAGCTCTGTTCCGACTGTTTGTCTTCTTTTTTTTTTTCAGACTTCAGATTATTAGTTTGGGGGCGGGAGATTATTAGTTCAATAGTTTGGGTGTTTGGGGCTTTGGCTGGCCGGCTGGGCTGGGTCTTGGGACTGAGACTGGGGCTGGGCCCAATTAATTTTTGATTAAAAGTGTGCTGGGTTGGGTCTTGGGGGGGGGGGGGCAGGGAGGGCTGGGCCCGGGCCCAGTGTGGCCCCCCCTGTATCCGCCGATGGTCGCGATGATTTTCCAGTCGGTGGTTCTGACAACTGAAGACGGGGAAGTTGTTGACGGAGTCAACTCGTAGACGTCGATCGTGGTAGATTCCGATGAAGCGACGAAATGGGTAGTGGAATTGAACTCGAATGGCGCCATGATCATCTCTATCCAATTTTTAGTTTTGTTTGCTTACCAGTTACCAATTCCGTCATTTATATCTATGGGTTCTAGTATAGACTACTAGGAGATATGGATTGAAATTAGGTTTTTTTTAATGAATGTAATAATGAAGTGCAAAATATAAAAATTATTTTTTTATTTTTAATAATTTTTTAGTTGCCACGTCACTAAGTTAACGGTCAATTTTGAGAGTTGACTGCCACATCAGCAAAAATTAACGGAACTGGACGGAGAGTGACCAAACGTGAACCGTTGCAGTAAACTGAAGTACCACCAAAGGATTTAAATATTTTGAGTGACCAAACTTGAACGTTTTTTATAATCTCAGTGACCAACCATGCAATTAACCCGTAAAACAAAATAACAAGATCATCCAAAGATGGAGTGTGATACGCCCCCAAATATCCACATGAAGCAAATTAAAATAATTTATAGTCTTTATTGTGCTACTAGTACTAGGAAAAGGATTCTGAGTCTATTTTTCCCTCAAACATGAAACACAGTGCGAAGGATCCGAAGGATAAAATGTACAATCCAAAAAACCTTACAAACTAGTGAGGCCAAAACGTGCATGCCATACAATAGACAACGTTGCAGATCTCGTCATTAGGTCGAAGCAGATAGTACAACCCAATCCTTGGTGCCATGTTCTCCCAGTCCCAACTATAAATTCTCATCTCACGCAAGCATAAGCCGGCTATTAGATAGAAATGAAACGCATTGCACAGCCATAGGAATGTAACTAAAAGAACAAGTGGAACAGATGAATGGAACAGAGGATTGCTTACTGACACCAACTAAAAGATTATTTTCTACAGTGCCAATATCCGCCAAAATGTGTGAAAGGGGGAAAAAACCCAGCACAAATAAACACGATCAGTTCTATGTCCATTTGGGAAAAGGGATATAAATCTCTCTTCATTCTCTTTCCAAGTTATTGCTCCTCTCAACCCTAACAACGGAACGCCACCACCAAGACAAAAAGTTGCTCACCACAATTGCATCTTTCATGGCTTCAGGGCAACTGCCAGCCCAATCTTTGCACTCTTCTCAATTGCCCTCGTGTCCACTTCCCCTGATATGGTGAAGAGGGACTTCGGGCGCCAAGCGTGCTGGATCAGTGCACTCGCTTTCCCGTAGTTGTTCACTCTGCCCTTCACAGTGGTCAAGGGGTCGAGGGCATGCTGAGTGCCTACCGTCAGAGTGTTCTCGTTGCTGGAGAAACTGTGGGTCAGCTCCGCACCAACAGCTGTGCTGGTCAGTGGACTCACGGTGTGGTAATAGGAGGCCGTAAGTGTATCTCCCTTGTCATTCCTGCAACCATTCACAAAAGTCCACTAATTCATTGAACATGAACCCCACAAATAATCCACATTCGAAACTCAAGCAGAAACAGTTTCTTAAAATGAAACTGAACTACAGGCACTCTTTTACACAATATAGTAAGTGCTCAACATCAGATAATGAAACCAACCACCATGAAAACTAGAAGGCATAGGGGCTCACAAGGTAACAGCAGCAACCAGGTCTGCATTGGTGTAGCTCAAACCAGCATTCAATTTGGTGAAGTTCCCAGAGGCAGTGTCAAAGCAGAGGTCGGTACCAAGAGCTACCATATTGTTACCGACTACACCAGAGAAGTTAACAAGTGGACTTGCAGTCATACCAATGCTAGTGCTAATCCCAGTGTACTCATGTTGGTACTGGAGTTCCACCTGATGTCAACCAAAAGAAAATGACTAAGCTATTGAATCAATTAGGTATACCATAATGAAGTCAACCAATATAAATGAGGCCTTAAGCAAAGCTTCCTCATACATTAGCCAATTGATCTTTTCCAACAACAAACCAATCAAATGAAAAGACAGAACATTTACTCTCCAATAGGCAGTAATTTGCAGAAGGATGACAATTAGAGGAGACCACTTGCCCTCAAGGACTAAAGAGGGTTTACCTTGCCAGATCTCTGATCAGGGACCTTGAAGCTAAAGATTGTCTTCAATCCAGGAGCGGGTTCATCAATAGTGACGGTGGTGAACAGCTACAAAGAAGAAAGAACAGTTCAACTTATCAATTGAACAGAAAGAGTATTTCAATGTACAATCATGGAAACATCGGGAACCACATAGCCATCGGGAACCAACCCCGAAACATAACCAGGTCATTCGCATGAGAAACATACCCATGAGAAAAACTCAAGCAGATTGGAGCAAAGCATGGTGTAAGACAATGAACATGCA